GCATGTCCTCTATTTGCTCTCTTAATTGCTACCACTAACGATGGTTCCTTTGATTCGTATCGTTTCCTTGCAAGTAAAAAATTCTTTCATAAGTGAAAGTACAAAAACAGTGAAAAAATTCAAATTAAAGGATAGCAACAATTTGGTAAGATTTTTAAGAACAGGTTGTCAATTTTTCACGAAGTGGCCATTGGGTCCGAACGCACCTAAATGGAGACACGCGCTCTCGAAAATTATATACTGCGTACATATTGTATACGAATTATACGACGTTTTGGCAATAATAAATGGCCTTCATTGTTGCTTGTGAAATCAATTGAGGAGGGAATATTCATGCTGGAAATGGTGTTCAATTTAATCTATTATCGATTGCGGGAGCCTGACGAACGTATCTTCCTATGACGCTAAGAAAGACAACCGTAAAATTTCATCAGAATCAATTATGCACTAAAATTCCAACATTAATTTACCCATCAAGCACGTCACAAGCTTCGAAGAGCTTTCTAGCGAATGGAGTCAAGAAGAATCGCCACACTTGGAAGCCAGTTTCGCAGCGACTCATGTACTTATGAGCTGTCATTAAGGAGCTGATGATTCTTGATGGTTCAGAAGTCGAATTGTAACCAGGTGACTCCAGAAAACCGAGATGTTTGTTAAACGTCAGGTTACAGAAGCACTCCATGGCCCAACGAATCATGTCTTCATGAAAACTAGCAGGTACTTGTTCGCATAATTCATTGTAGGAAATTTTCACCTTCAAATTATGAAATTATCACTATTTTAATACACACTTCGTTCTGTCTATTGCGTATTTTATATATCCTAGTGATAAGATCGTCGCAAATAGCGTCAACTTTGCCAAAGAAGCGCGAGGCAATGTCATTGAAATCTTGTTCCACCTTTTCCCTCATTTCCAGCCAGTCTGAACCCTGCCTGAATAATACACATTAATTAATTTCATTAAACGTTGGATCCGTAGATTATCGATGCTTAGTATGATCGTGTACTAACAAAGAGAATGGACCAGCGAGACGATATTTGCGATGGTTCAATCGATAATGCTGCAAGATGTCAATTCCACTTCGCGTTGGCGTACCACCTTCCTGTCTAAAGACCGCCGCAATGTGTTCAGGTCTATGTTAATTAGCAGATGGAATAAATAGAGGTGTAATTAAACGTGAATTTGTTGAAAATTACCATAGACGGTGGAACAAGTGTATCGCGTTCGTAAATTAACCCTTTCGCGAGCAGTGGTGCATGTATGTCTCACTTGAATACTCGAAGAAAAATTGATTTCAATTTACGATCCATTACAAACGCGATTATTGGTAGATAATTAACAACTTCTTTAAAACAATAACGTGGTTATGCTAGAGTTAAAGCATCAAGTGGCGGTACAGCTTGATGTAGCTGCAGCGAGGACAACATATATCTAGTATTCTGTTTTAGGGTTCGTGCATTAAAGGGATGACAACTGATGACTAACGGTATTTCATGTACTATTGAACAAATAAGAAATGCTAATTGGCCTTTTTTTTATGTTTGAAGTTTCTTTCTGTACTTGACGTATCGTCAGACAGCTGTTTTGTAACAGTATGTTGTGCCTTATGCGGCTTTCGGCACATTTGCACTTTAGTTTAATCCTTAATTTTTGTCTTTTGCACACTTCCAGCTTAATTTAATGAAAGCAATTTTAAAACGACATATTGTAAAATTTAAAGAATTTTGAAGTGCTAAACAAAAGATTTTGCGTGCAGGATTGAACATCTATCGTCTGCCACGTACGTTAAGTACTATAAATCTGCCGCAGCAAAAGGGTTAATTTTTCTAGTTTTTTTATCATATTTGCAAATTTATTTTTGCCACTGTGTCATTCCTTTGCTGATATTTTTTGACGATTAGGGATAGTTTTCTTCGGATTTCTGCCTGTCGGTTCTGCAATAGATCGTACCCTGGGTGAATCTGTCGATTAGCAGACTAGAAAATAATTGCGTACCGAGGAGCGGCACGTATTTCCAATACTTCTCCCAGATCTTCAGAACCTCTGATCCATGGATCTCTTCGTAGGGCTATGGTTTCATGTCACCAATAATTTGTGATTCGATTTTCGTCTTGGACACTTCGAACGTGATTGGTGAAACTTCCATAGCCGCTTGGTCCAACAAGGGAACCAAATCTGCTCGAGTTAGGGGCTCATTCATAACTGACGCTGCTTGAGACTGAGCCATTGATGCAGCTGAAATTTTACTCAATGATAAATTTGTTAAGGTATTAGTATACAGGGTTGACCACATAAAATAGGCCACCTAATTATCGTCCCTAATTATGGTGATACGATAAAGGTGTTTATACATAATTTAAATAATTTCAAAGACTGAATAAGGTGAAGGAAACATTTTGTTGATGGAAGAAATGGCAAAAAATGGAAAGGAGTTTCGTATTTGATTAAAAATTTTAGAGTTCTCGGTTATATTATTATGCAGGTTTAAATGCAGATCAATAACTGGTACAATATACTCTAGAAAAAAGTATACAGGGTGTCTGTTTTATCTCAATACACCTAAATATTTTGTAAGGAAATGATGTTAGGAAAAAAATGTTTTAACAAAAGTTGTATGAAACAAGGGGGAAAATTATGTGGCATTGCTAATGCTATATTTCTTTATTCATAATATGATATTGTATGTTACGACGCGTCCAACGAGGTGGAACAAAGTCATTTCCTCTCATCTACGGTCGTATAATTGCGAAAATCCGGGGGCCGGACCACCTTACGTACCTCACTGTTGCGTGTGTCTGTTGTATCAAAGGAAATGACTTTGTTCGCACCTCGTTGAACTCGTCTTAACATACACTATCATATTATGTATAAAAAGATATAGCATTCAATTTAAAAAAATTAAACTAAGTTTGAAATCTCCCCCATCATACCAGGTACAAAAAAAATATTTATGCCACATAATTTTCCCCCTTGTTTCAAACAACTTTTGTTAAAACATTTTTTTCCTAACATCACTTCCTTAAAAAATATTTAGGTGTATCGAGATAAAACAGACATCCTGCATACTGGCACATGCGTAACAGACGTCGCTTGGGTTGTTCGGCCGTACCGACGAGCCGAACAATAACATCGGTATTTGCAATAGACAGCACCTTCTAAAAAGCGATATCTTAGCTGGCATGGGCAAATTACTTTATTACACCAAAAATTCCAGGACTCTGCCCTATGCCGTACCGACGAGCCGAACAATAACATCGGTATTTTCAATAGACAGCACCTTCTAAAAAGCGATATCTTAGCCGGCATGGGCAAATTACTTTATTACACCAAAAATTCCAGGACTCTGCCCTAAGACAATAAAACAGACCTTCGACATCACCAATTTCAGACAAGCAATATAACAAATGTAAGAACAAATTCCCCACTTTCACACCACCACCAGACACACCCCAAACACACCGAAAAACCAATCACCACACACTTCCACCACCTACGACAGCTTCACACCACCAATCACAACACACACGTAGATTATAAAATAGCGAACACAACACCACACCAGACATAGTTTTCTAACCAGTAAATTTAGACATTCGCGCTCTGTTCACGTTCATTTCCAAATACATAGATTTAATAGCAAGTTGTGCGTTAATAATCAATCTTCCTTAATTCCTTAAATGGTCTGACTCAAAAAGGGGGACAACTATCGGTTTCGCAACAAGTATATTGCCATTCGTAACAATACATTCACATAAAAAAAAAATGTTGTTCAAATTATATCGTGTTTGATTTCATTTTCATCAGAAAAAACTCACCAACATGTTAAAACTAACTTCAGATAAAGAGAATAAAATGAAAAATGTTGGTGTATAAATCGCTTGATTGCCTCGACTCTCGTTTCATCCTTTTTATTCAATGTCCTTATCGTCGTTCGACGAACTACAAAGACGGGCTGCGAGGCTCGAGAAAAAGTATCCCTGCTAACCAAACTGTCCCGTTTGGTTCCGTTCCGTGCTGGTGAACACTGATAGAAACATTACTGTACTACCTACTTTTGTTGCACTTTTGCTTCTAAATTCATAACTATTAGATTACCTTGAAGAAACATAATTCCACTAAAATTAAACATTTTTATTTACAATAATTTCCATAATATTCGATTACACTCTTGCCAACGTTATTGCAAGAGCGTTAATTCCGCGTATATAAAAATCAGAGTCTCATATCTTTTCAAAATGAACGGCTTAAAATCTCGGAAACTTTCCAGATGATTTAATATCTTTCCGACTTCGTTTTCTGCATTTGTATCGAGAAGAATATAATTTCTCAATTACGTTTCAGTTACATAAAAATTCACTTTTGGAAAGTCGGTTAATGGGTCAATTTCAACCTGGCCAGTTATTCTAGTGTTAATAATAAAAATAAATGTCGAGACTTTAATTACTTCATAGAATACAGGTACAAGAACTTCACTACTGCTAGAACGTAACTTACGATATTATAAGGACTTCTTTCCACTTTAATGGTAATTATCTGTGCCATGGTAACATTTGTTTGATTGCTGGTGTTTTCATACCTAATAAAGTATGGACCCTTCCTGAAACACTCTGTTAATAAATGAGTCATTCGTATACCTGGTTACGTGTCTTGACTACCAAAGGGATTATCGTTCGTCCAATTTATCCACAACGAATATTTGCAGTTATTAAATCTCCGTAGAAAGTAATTAAAAGAAAGAAAAGGGGGTGTCCATTGATTCTCAGTCAGTTGCAACGCTTGCAATACTTCCCACGCGGTAATTACGCGCGCGGAACATTCAAGCCTATTATTATCGTTACAGCAGGCGTAATATATTTGTTGTACAGGGGAATCCGTCGATAGTTGCATTCACTATTCATCATAATCTCCGCGAATTCGTTAACTGCAAAACGTTTCGCTTATTCAATACGATACACTGCAATCTAACAACTCGTAGAATTTCATTTTTCCTCCAGTCATTATGTTGAAATATCCGAGTCCAGAAAGAGCCATCTCCCTTGTCCAAGTTATCACAGCTTTTACCTGCTGTTGGCCTCTTCCCTCGACGGCGACTAAGTCTCTGGTGCTTCAATTTAAGATTCTGAGATCTTTCCTGCTTTTAAACGCGTTAGTGTTGTTTCTACCTTTGTTATATGCTCTGCACGTGCATCGAAACGACGCCGAGAACGTCGCGAAAGCTGCTTGCCTGACGCTTGCCCTCGTGCAAATATTTTTCCAGACTTTCGTTTGCATCGGCCAATACGATCATTTTCAGGTAAGATTAATTTTACGCATAAACCCTCAAAGAATATGTATACAGGGAGGGCCACGCGAAACAGGACACCTAATTATCTTTTCAAGCTAGCGTGATAAACGAGAAAATTGTTATACGTAATTTAAATGGTTTCAAAGGGTGAATAAAATGAAAGAAAAATGTTTTCATAAACATTCTTTTTCTGTTCTCTTCATGGTCACTTGTTTTGTTTTACATGACTGTATATATTTTTTTCTACTGTATGTACTAGCTTACATAGATGTGCATTTAAACATACAGGATAACAAAATTTTAAAATGATCACCTTGGACTATAAAATTTTAAATTAAATGTGAGACTTAGTTCCACTTTTTGTCATTTATTTCATTAAAAATATTTTTCATCCATCTTATTCACCCTTTGAAACCGTCTAAATCAAGTATAAAAATTTTCTCGTACCACCATATCTAGAAAAAGTAACTAAGAAGCCTGTTTTACATGGCTCACCCTGTATAATTAGGTAAGTGAAAATGTCCAGCGAAAGATCAGTAATTTTTGTGACACGTTGCAGAAACTAATCGAAGAAATGAAGATTTGCTGTGAAACAGCGAAACCATACGAAAGAGACGTCTTTCAACGATACGTCGATAAATACTCTTTATTTTACGTAACATGTTCGTCGTGGTTTTACTTAACAGCAGTTATTATGGTTCTGGGAAGTCGGATTATATCTGATCCTTTTCCAACCAACGCCGTATATCCATTCCCTGTTAACTTTGAACCCTTGAGAAGTATCATTTTTATGCACCAATCGTTCGTTGGCATACAGTGTGCTGCACACACTAGTATGAATGTGCTAACTGCATTGTTATTACTATTTGCTGCAGCTCGTTTCGAGATACTGATGATGGAGCTGAGGAATGTCAGTGACATTGAAACACTGATTAAATGTATGAAAAAGTATTCGATCGTACGGAGGTAGAACATTATTTTCTAATGAAAACAAAAGAAGTGCAGGGTGGACCAAATGTCGGGTACCATTTTAGCTTTTTCTTGCAGAACCTTAAGACCTTAACCTCTGGAAGACAGAAAACACACAAATTAAATAATATTTATTAATGCAGTACTTGACTTTTGGTCCGCCTTGTATAGTTTATAATAATAGTAAAATATGGAGTTTTAGGTACGCAACGGACGTGGTTACCACAATTCGACTTCTGGTTCTGATTACGGTAATCACATGCACTGTGGCGTGTGTATTTGCTGGAATTAACTTGATCGGAGTGAGTACTTGATAATGAGATAAAAATTGTAGGAATTAAAAATATAATGAACTATGTTCGAACGATTGAATAGAAACAACCGTTCGCTGTGAAAGCTCAGTTTCTTACTGTGAGTGGAACCGCTTTGCTGGAAGTGCTTATGTGTTCACTACCAGCTGACCATTTGATAGATATGGTAAGTGATTATTTGATGCTATTCTTTAAGGCTTAACGAAACAAAGTTAAGACTTGATTAAATGTATCCTTATTAATGTCAGAGCGAGAACATAATGCAAGGAATATATGAATCAAAATGGTACGAACGATCTCTAAAAATTCAAAAGTCTACAGTCCTCATGTTGACTCCTCAATCTCCGGTGACAGTAAAAATCAAGTGCCTCATTCCAGTTCTTTCTTTGAATTTTTACTGCTCGGTATGAGAATAGAAATACGGACCTTCTTATTTTATTTTACTATCGTATTTATCGATTATTCTTTTGATTATTTCAGTACGTCTCAAATGTGTTCTCTTTATTTACCGCTTTAAGAATAGTCATGATAGACGATGAAAATGGAAATTGAACGTCGACAGCCAGCAATACTTAAAATTAATATTTAATCGATCACAAAGGTAGATCAATAATTAGGAATATTTTAGTTGCTCGAATTCTACAATGAACGAGTGTTTCGTAAGCTATTTCAATTTTCATCACTTCTAATATTCATATATTTATAATAGAGCAGAATTTGAACAATAGTAAACCGAGTGCGCTCTGCTATCAAAAGGATGAAATTCTCAATATTCGGGTAGAAATTACCATATACAATTGTTTTAAAAGTATTGGAATTTATTTGAATATTCTCCATACTTCTTACTTTATGTTTTATCATAATAATACCAGACATTCCATTATTAATGCAATTGTATGAAATTTATCGAAATTTATTTGAAAATCCTCCACAATTTTTATTTTATGTTTTATCATAATAATACCAGATATTCCATTATTATATGGAAATGCCAAAATTGATAGAAATTGTTAATAAAGCACTATACGCAATGCCTTAATTTATTTAAGCACCCATGCATAATTACGAAACGACTGTGGATGTCTTCTATTTACTCTCTTAATTGCTACCACTAACGATGGTCGCTCTGATTAGTATCGATTCGCCTCATGTGCATGCATACTACCCTCAGCAGTCGTTTAAAAGCTTCCGAACTCAAAAGCTCCAAAGGGAGATCACCGAGAAACTCATCATGTTACCTTTGCAAGTAAAACATTCTTTCACCAGTGAAAGTACAAAAACGGTGAAAAAAATCGATTTAAAGGGCCGCAACAATTTGGTAAGATTTTTAAAAACAGGTTGTCAATTTTTCACGAAGTGGCCATTGGATCCGAACGCACCTAAATGGAGACACGCGCTCTCGAAAATTATATACTGCTTACATTTTGTATACGAATTATACGGCATTTTGGCAATAATAAATGGTCTTCATTGTTGCTTCACGACCCTTGGGGAATTTGTGAAATCATTTGTGGAGGGAATATTCATGCTGGAAATGTTGTTCAATTTAATCTATTATCGATTGCGGGAGATGGAATTCCAGGTTAATATTCGCGATGAAATTGATTTATCATACTTATGCTGCTTAACTTTATACATTACGAATCTATCTGTTTATTGTCTCTAGCGTTTGATTATTCAGATGGAGCATTTTTTCGAGATGTCCAATCCAAGTTACTCGAGCCAACTTAGATCGGTGTACTATATACTACCGACTACTTTTGTCATTGGTGGTTTACTCTTTGCTTTCGTGCCACTCTTTTCGGAAAATCATTTAACTCCAATGAACACTGTATACCACCTGATTCCAAGAGAAAAGTATTGGGGTATATGTCTTTCTTATGCATTGAACGTCGGTCATATTTTAAATGCCGCGTCAGTGATGTTCCTGGACTTACTCGTAATTACTATAATATGGCACGCTACTTGTAAATTTAGTATATTAGGTAGCAAGTTGAAAACTACGAATGAAAAGAAATTGAAAATGTGGATCAGAGAACATCAAAATGCAATCAAGTATGTTTATTCAATTTTTTAACTTAATTCGTAACCGGTGACGTGGAGTCTGTAAGATTTCTGCAGATTATTCTTTTTATAACATTTAAACGTGTGAATTATCGGCTACGTGGATTCCAGTACCTTCCTAGAAGTAGTAAAAGTTAATTTGTATCTTGCAAATGGCGAAGCAGCAGTTTTTGTGTTAATAACGTGGCGTAGTCTGTGAATCTCCATGTCACTGTTTATGTAACAAAAATGGGACATCATCGGTTAGGGGTTAATACTCGAAACTATTTTGGAACCTTTTTGTGATCAAAAATAGCTACGTTCGTGAAGTTAATTGTGTCGTGGCACCTCTTGCGATTAAATCGACAATTGCAGTGGCATTGTACATGATTGTTTCTGGTCTTGTGCTTATACACGTACGTACTTCTTCGTTCAGAAATATTTATCTATTATTTTTTAATATTAAATGTAACATTGTTTCTTGCAGAAAGTATTATTCATCGAAATTTCGAAATTTTCCGTGGTAGCTATGTTTTCAATGCTAAGATTCCTCGCCTGCACTTGGGCAGCTGACAGAATGACCGAAAATGTGAGTATAGTTGGTGGAAGCGATACAGTGATGTCGTAAATTAAGGCGTTAAGAAACTTTCTTAATTTTTAAATTCTGACGATTGCAACGAGTGCTACACTGGCCGCCAACAATGGTTTCATCGTCGGAGAGGGTAAAAACAATTGCATACAATTTGATATAACAATGAAAAAAAGTAAACAAAAAATTGCTCGTGTAGTTTATGACTGCATCTACATACCTGCAAAATAATAATCTTGTATTGTCAAGAGTTTTCCAAAAAAAAAATATAGAATAATAATTTCGACTTTACTGCTGTTATACGAAAATCCGCCCTTAAGTGGTGACACCAATTGATGTAGCCGCATTCAGAGCTGTGCGTCATTTATAAATTAACACATTGCCAACCGATGTGATAAATCTACCATTTTCTACTATATTATTTACGTAGAATATTTCATTCTCATTTTTTCTTCATATTGTAGAAAAAGTTGCTCCGACTATTGTCGATGTAACGAACCATCGTTGAATTTTACATTGGTAACCTTCCTGACAAAGAATAGAATTCGTTCGGTTGGCAAAGTGTTGATATCAAAAATTTCTGCTTACAATTCGTGTGTACCCTTAAGCCCCCGTCGCTTCCTGTTAAATAGTACGAGGGTGGATTGAAAAGTTCGTGGACTAAGTAGGAAGAACTACTGCTAGGTGTTTGCAATTTTTACGGTGTAATCTGTGATCATTTGTGTACATTGGCTCTGTCAGTTTTTTGTTCTCTTTTACAGCTGGTGACGTAGGGGTGTTTATAACGACGGAGAAGAGACGAATACAAGTGAGGAATGATCCAGTACCTGGTGACAAAGGACATCACCGCAAGGACCTTGAATGATTTTCGCAAGGACTTGGAATAATTTTCGCAAGGTCCTTGAATGATCTTTGAAGTGAGGTCCTTTATCTTCAGGTATTGGATCGCTGTTCGTTTTCTAATTTTGTCCATCTCTACTCCATCTACTGCAAATACCTCTACTTCACTAGCTATAAAAGGGAGAAAAATGACGACAGAGACACGAAACTGTATACATTAGTACACAATTAATTACATATTATTCGGTAAAAATTACAAGCACTTAGCTGCAATCCTTCATACTTAGGCCATGAATTTTCCACCCTGGTACACTAATTCTCGTATTGGTAGCAAGTTAACCTGCAGTTGTCTACGATTCAGACGCAGACAAATTTTTGGAATTTACTGCAATGGAAGAAGCAGTTCCGTGTTGACATCGAACTACAATATATTGTCTCCGTTTAATTGCTGCTTTAGTACACCCATCCCTCCATTTACGCGGTCAGATAGGCTCAGTTTTATACAAACTTTCATTGTATTTATTACATATCAAAGAGACGTAAATTCTTGCTCGACTCAATACTTACTAATATTTTAAGCGATGAAGATAGTGACTTCGAGCCAATGAAGAAGAGAAGATCGATTGTTTTGAATTACAGTAGAGATTCTGACACCGAATAAAACTTATTTTCGTTTTCAGAAATATCGTTATTTTTATTATTAACCTATGCGATTTAAATGTTTTTATAACTGAAACCTGTTTTTCTTACCATGTTTTTTTTTCTCATACAAGCAGACTCTATTTACGCGATTTGTATCCGCGTAAAGAAAATCAACGCGGAACGGTCAATCCGCGTAAATGGAGGGACGAGTGTACTTCACGACTTCACTGTGCCACTTTCACAGACTACGATATTTTAATAATTGAGAAACATTCTTTTCATTTATACTTTGAACAGGCACACAGTATTGCCTGGGATATTTACGACTCCTCGTGGATTAACGCGTCCACGAAGGTTCGCAGTAGGATCGTGCTAATTATTCAAAGGTGCCAGAGACCTATTACGATTCACGCTATTGGATTTTTCACCGCCTGGTCTTTAAAATTCTGTGGACAGGTATGTCGATCTCTTTTTTTTTTTCAATGCGAAAGCAATTTGTGAAAATTCCTTTTGTTTTCCCAGGTTCTTTATACAATTTTTACCTTCTTCTCGGCACTGAAGGCAGTGCTACGTGAATAAATGAGACGAGGATACTTTAACAGTGTTTTATTATTACCTTCTGGATGCAATGAATATTACAGGTATTGCTACTTACATTAAGCTACTCTCCACTGTATTCGATATGTTAACTGAACGTTGAATTAGAAAATACATTCCAGTCTAAACTTCTTGCATATTTTTCCTCGCTTAATTCCTATCGATGAAACGGAAACGAAGTGGTTTGTTCGGTACATTCACCATCATAAAATTACTCTTGATATCAGCGTAATCGTACTCGATTCTAAATTGTCTAATTAGCTGTAAAATATAACGAGCATGAAATAATGCGATCGATTAATCTGATCGATCGAATTTAAATACCTTTGCAGTCAGTAACATCATTTTTGTTTCAGCCATATGTTTTCCCAAGCATGATCTGATACCATAACCAAAGGGCAGGTAGCTGAAATCTGTATCTTCCTTCGTAGAACTTGTCAACCATCTCTCTGGTTTGAATTTTGTCGGATCTTCAAAGTTCTCCTCGCGTTGCGATGTAATTTGATTGGCCATTATGACGAACGTCTGAGACAATTATTCTTAAATAAAACAAGTGACTGTTTTGAATTTTTTATGAGGTATTATACTTACTCCTTTGGGTATCGTGTATCCATGAAGCGATATAGTTTTCGGAAGCAGTCTCGTAATATACGGAAACGTAGGACGCAACCTACCAACGAAATTGTTCACTTTGTAGCACCTTAATAATCATTTTTTCTCAATTTATTGTTAAGTTTGAGCATATGAAATATCATTTCTTGGAATGAAACTTTAGACAAAAATAATGTATTTAAACAAAATAATTTCCACACGATTCTATACATTTTTCCCGACGATTAACTGGTTTCGTTGTTCCAAATTTATAAAAATTATTAGTCTTTGAATGGAAAAATTCATTGGCTGGCACCATTACAGTGTCTTCACCTGGGAAAAATTCATTTGTATCAAAAATTGTCCAGGGTTTTGAAGAAACAGTAGTCTGTTGGGGAAATGTCGAGTGAATAGGGGAGGATGTGACAAAATTTCATACTTTTCACCGTGGATTGGTTTCTGTGATTTTTCTTAAAAACCATCCTCTTGGCTCATTTTCTAATGGAAAGGAACCAACTCTGAATTTTGCGTATACACATGGAAGTGTCTTAACGTTTACATAACCTTCTTCAAATGCTAAATTTATATTTTCAGCAGATTTTGTCGTAGTCTTTCAAAGTTTAAACTTATGTGTATACGAGAATTACGCGCATATCCCGATTATTCATCACGTTAGATAATGTCTACGCAATTGTATTATGAAATCTCTTACTATTTAATACACCTGTACTGCAGCAAAAATCTTCTTCTTGACTATTGTACATAGAAATTGATGATCGGACAAAATTTAATACTTATATGGAATCGACCCGTTAAAAAAAATGACATTTCATTTGCACCAACCTAATATTATCAAAATGACTACCTTAAACTCTCCTGCAGACAAGCTTTCAAATAAGGCATACTTTTCAATATATCCTCCGTGAATGTGGAATCTTTGTGCGGCAAAACGGAAGCAATCTCATCATACAGAGTCCTTTGAGTTCGTGGATTTCTTGCCAAATAGTATAAGAGGAACGATTCGGAGTTCGCAGTCTATAAATTAAATAAACATCGAACCAGTAGGATAAAAATACTCGATGTAACTCAAATTCAGTGTTAAATAATTACTGCCTGAACACCCAAAATCATCATGTCCATCAGCAGTGTGCAAATATCATCCGGATGAATACTTTCATTTAGCAAAAATTTCTCCAAGACAGGTGAACTGTCGTTAGCTGTTTCTCCGTGAGAAGAACTACGAGCTCTGAGTTTAGTTTGAGCCTGACGAACGTATCTTCCTATGACGCTAAGAAAGACAACCGTAAAATTTCATCAGAATCAATTATGCACTAAAATTCCAACATTAATTTACCCATCAAGCACGTCACAAGCTTCGAAGAGCTTTCTAGCGAATGGAGTCAAGAAGAATCGCCACACTTGGAAGCCAGTTTCGCAGCGACTCATGTACTTATGAGCTGTCATTAAGGAGCTGATGATTCTTGATGGTTCAGAAGCCGAATTGTAACCAGGTGACTCCAGAAAACCGAGATGTTTGTTAAACGTCAGGTTACAGAAGCACTCCATGGCCCAACGAATTATGTCTTCGTGAAAACTAGCAGGTACCTGTTCGCATAATTCATTGTAGGAAATTTTCACCTTCAAATTATGAAATTATCACTATTTTAATACACACTTCGTTCTGTCTATTGCGTATTTTATATATCCTAGTGATAAGATCGTCGCAAATAGCGTCAACTTTGCCAAAGAAGCGCGAGGCAATGTCATTGAAATCTTGTTCCACCTTTTCCCTCATTTCCAGCCAGTCTGAACCCTGCCTGAATAATACACATTAATTAATTTCATTAAACGTTGGATCCGTAGATTATCGATGCTTAGTATGATCGTGTACTAACAAAGAGAATGGACCAGCGAGACGATATTTGCGATGGTTCAATCGATAGTGCTGCAAGATGTCAATTCCACTTCGAATTGGCTTATCACCTTCCTGTCTAAAGACCTCCGCAATGTGTTCAGGTCTATGTTAATTAGCAGATGGAATAAATAGAGGTGTAATTAAACGTGAATTTGTTGGAAATTACCATAGACGGTGGAACAAGTGTAGCGCGTTCGTAAATTAACCCTTTCGCGAGCAGTGGTGCGTGTATGTCTCACTTGAATACTCGAAGGAAAATTGATTTCAATTTAGGATCCATTACAAACGCGATTATTGGTAGATAATTAACAACTTCTTTAAAACAATAACGTGGTTATGCAAGAGTTAAAGCATCAAGTGGCGGTACAGCTTGATGTAGCTGCAGCGAGGACAACATATAGTATTCTGTTTTAGGGTTTCTAGCAATAAAAGGATGGAAACTGATGACAAACGGTATTTCATGTACTATTGAATAAATAAAAAATGCTAATTAGATTCTTTAATATTTGAAGTTTCTTTCTACGCTTAACGTATTGCGAACCTATGTGACAAGCGCAGATCAATTGACTAGTCGAATTTTAAGAACGTGAAACTGATACAGATTGAAGTGTAAACAACACGAACGGTAAAGTAATAAAAATTGAAGTAGATACAGGTGAAAAAGAAGGCTATTATAAGAATTTGCAGAAGGACAACAGAGGCTGTGCAAGCGCTATGAATACATTATACAGCCCTGACTGTGGGTTCAGATCCTAATGTTTTCATATTTCTGTCAATTTCTTTTTTAGAACATTCGAAACATGTTTACTTTGACTCCTGACCGATTTTACGAACGAGCTATTTTTTCCACATACTTTTACCTGTGAATCATGACAATGTCTCCAGAAAGAGGCCCGTTGATCCTCACGATACAGCCATACTCGTTGAATAAATACTTGAGAGGAGTGACGTTACGGTTCCACGACAGTCGTCCTAAAAATGGCTCGTTTGAAATTGAATAAAGTCATACAGCTTGATGGAAATGGAGTTGAAGTTGATATATCTAAAAGTTTCACGAGCTTCCAGTGAAATTAGGCATATAATTTCTTGCATTTCTTTTTTGGCAATATTCTGAGTAATTAAACGCGTAACTGGAAATCCGAAGAGCAAATGAAATTTTAACCCTTTCACTGTTATTGGCGCCTATATGAGTTTTGAAGATTTATTCGCTCCTTACCGTGAAAAACTATATTTCATGTTAAAAGTGTATCTACAGATCGTTGAAAGTAAGTGAGATTATTAAAGATTATGACTTTCTTAAATTATTTTCTTCTTAAATTCGAAATATTGAAAACAAAAACTGAATTATTTCAATTCAGCCAATCAAATTAAAATTAAATATTAACATTTGAATAGTTTCAATGTAATTGAATGAATTTATATAATTGAGTATTTGTTTTGAGCAGCAAAAGGGTTAATTCTTCTATTTTTTTTTTATCATCTTTGCGAATTGATTTTTGCCACTATGTCATTCCTTTGCTGATATTTTTTCACGATTAGAGATGATTTTCTTCGGATTTCTGCCTATCGGTTCTTCAACAGATCGTACCCTGGGTGAATCTGTTGATTAGCAGACTGGAAAACAGTTGCGTACCGAGGAGCGGCACGTATTTCCAATACTTCTCCCAGATCTTTAGTATCACTGGTCCAGGGATATCTTCGAAGGGCAATGGCGTTATGTCACCAATAATTTGTGATTCGATTTTCGGCGTGGACACTTCGAACGTGGTTGGTGAAACTTCCGTAGCCGCTTGGTCCAACAAGGGAAGCGAATCTGCTCGAGTTAGGGGCTCATTCATAACCGAGGCTGCTTGAGACGGAGCCATTGATGCAGCTGAAATTTTGTTCGATGATAAATTAGTTAAGGAATTAGTATACAGGGTGGGCCAAGTAAAACAGGCCACCTAATTATCTTTCCTAGTTATGGTGGTACGAGAAATTTTTTTCTACATAATTTAAATAATTTCAAAGATTGAATAAGGTGAAGGAAACATTTTGTTGAGGGAAGAAATGGCGAAAAATGGAAAGGAGTCACATATTTGACATTTTTGTCATTTTAAAGTTACATTATTATGCATGTTTAAATGCACATCAACGTCTGCTACAATATACTCTAGAAAAAAGTATATACATTTGTGTAAAAAAATCATGGGTTACCTTAAAAAAAAAAAACAGAGGAAAATGTTACTTATAAAATAATTTTTCTGCCATCTTATTCACTTTTTGAAACCATTTAAGTTAGGTATAAGAATTTTCTAGTACTACCATAGCTGGAGAAGACAATTAAAGCGGCCTGTTTTACATGACCCACCCTGTATATTTTCTAACATCTACCTACTCACAGATAATACCGGAAGCGTTAAGATCCAGGCATTTCTGGCTCTCGTTTGCCGCGTGAGGCTTCGATATCTTCATCACCGAACATTGTCGAGAAATCAACGCAAACTTTGGCAGCAATCGTTGCATCTTTGATCGCTGACTGATCTGCTTCTAGCAAATATTTCTCGACACGAAAAGAAACAACAGCTCGGTTACCTTGGTAACCAGTTGAAAAGATACGAATCTGACTTCGAAACGCAAAATTCAAAGGAACGGAATGAAGTTGTTTAAGTATAAATTTTATTTTTCATACAAATTTAACGTTACAGATTAAAAGCTACACCGTATTCAAACATCGTCAATGTACATTCCGTAATTCACACATCAACCTCAATCTCAACATCCTCTTCGTCCTCAGAAACAGTCTTTTCAGTCGTTGCACACTTTGCATTATCCTTCACTAATTTCCTAGATGATTCCTTCTGAGAATCAGGGTTCGACAAGGAAGCATTCTCACTCTCTTTCGTGTGTCTCCACTTCATTCGTCGATTTTGAAACCAAACTTTCACCTAACGAAGACCGACCGGTACATCTCTCATAATACTATTTCTCCAATTCTGCAAATTAATACAAAATTATACCTGTGCATCTGTCAAGCCAAGAGTAGCAGCGAGCTGCCTCCTGTCTGGTTTCGTGATGTATTTCTGCAAAGAAAATCTTCTCTCCAGTCCTTTCCTCTGCAAAGAGCTAAACACAGCTCTCGACCACGATCTCTTTCTTCTGGTATTCGCCTCTGATTGACTGGTAGCAGTCGAGATAGACGATACCGGAACTGTAAAGAATTTCCGATGAAATCTTTTTAGCAGACACCTTGTAAAACGGTGCTTTATCTCGTGAAACAGAAGCCAGGGGATCGGGAGCGGTACACGCAAGTGCTGGTCACAAATTAGAGGGAGACGTGACACGATGTAAACGGTAGTCGAAGCTGTACGGGTGTCTGTTTCAACAGATCCTAGGCCGAACAAGAGGCCTCCAAGATTGGGTACTTCTGGCTGATTTACAGCCCTACGAGAAGTATACAACATGTGTACGAATTTAAACAGTGTGGTTCTCTCTCCGGTTGGTACGGTCCTCTAAAATGAATTCGAGTTATATACATGGTAAGGTCATAGTTATTTTCGGACACTTTATCTTACTATGCTTGGTGGAAAGTGCAACTTCTATATTGATCAATCCGCCTGGTGTATTAGTCTATTGTTTGTGTCGATTCGGAATATTAATTTCACCGTAGCTACGTCAAGTATGTATGTGTTTGATGTGAAATTTTACGAGGATTTTCTATGTCGAGAACTTCATTTTTTCTTTCTTCTGGTATTTAAAAGAAGCTTCGTGAGAGAAGAGGTGGAAGGGATAGGCGAGGTTTTCGACATTTTAGCTAACCAAGAAGGGGCACAACCAAAACCACGCTGTTTACATCGGCTGTAAACGAATGGTGGCACTTAAGATGTCGTTTAAACACGGACAGGAAACACGAGAATACACTGCCGCGTAAATATTTTGCCCTACTTGCTGTGGAGTATTCGGGAGACAAGACACTGGTCCATATGGTCGCATTTGTTAATGACGCAACCTTCGTTTCATGAGCAGGGGGAGATCTTGAATTATTTCCGCTAAAGGGATCAAAATTGTCACGGATAAAATCATTCTCAAGGTGTCATTAAGGTGTCAGCAATCGTACAGATTCTAAAATTACTCCCAAACAGAAATTGTCGCGAGAAAATGACTGACTAATTTAATTTTTGGCTAGCATTTAAAATAATCCTTAAGGTGTCGATTAAATTGCGCCACGAAATGATATAAATTCGAAAATTACTTTGGACGCAAAGAAATGGAATATCGTTCGTGTTTGCCGCGAGGAAATGGCTGGTGGCTTAAATTCTTCTTAATTAAAATTTAATTTCTTTCAAATCTCACCTCTGGGGACAGGTCGAAGTGGCGCAGGTCGATAAATACTCGCATAATTTTCGATAATTCCGTTTCCATGGTTCGTGCTCCCGTAACTTCCAGGAATCGAGGTTTGACCATAAGGGAAGGAGGGACAAATTCGAAGAGCCTCACACCTGACGCAACCACCGGGACAGGGACACCGCACCGTGGAAAATTGCACCGGAAGTGGCCTCAGCACATCTTTCAAAACACATTCTCATTTAAATATCGACCACAGAAGTAAAACATACATCATGAGGCATATATTTCAATAATTATCCATTTGAAGTATCGTATAATTACGGTCAAAGTTGCTTTACCTGCTTTCTTCGAGGAAATTTCATCCGACAAAATACGCTCAACACCGAACTTCAATTGCTTCGAACAATTAGTGCCATCCACAACACGCGTCTTCACTTCGTTCATTTTTGTCCCTCCCTGCGTGAACTCACTGATTCAATATGTTCAAATATTCGAATTTCAATCGACACTTTCAGCTACCACAGCATTTTTCTTTCTTTCGCAACACCGATTTTCCACTCGCAATCGAAACTTGGATAAATTAGGCACCGGGTTCACTTCACTGAATTATAACTAGGTTTATGTCATGATTAAAAGTAGACGCGCGTGCTTTATCGACGAGTGAAACGATTGTCCGGATAGAAAACGATAGATGGGCAAGTGATTGATGTTAACGAGGCTAGTTAAGGGCGAAAAAGAATGACTTTCGCGGAAGTGCATCGAGATGAATGAGCGAACGGGTTCCTGCCATGTTCAGAACGGATTTTGCTTTAAAAAAAATCACCGGAGCTCGGTGCAATTTCGTCTGCGGGATTGGTCCACGCGGATGCTGTAGGCGTGGCTATTTGAAGATTGGTCCCTGAAGGATGATGAGTCTGATGTCAGTCTCGATGGAGTGTGGCTCGCAAGAATTCCACTTTCGACGTGTTTCGTCAAACAAATATTATAGTATGCGTATGTGTTGCATAAAAAGATTTCAGTGAAAATTACACAAGGAGTAATTTTTTGAGAACGTTATAAAATAAGTAGTTACAATTCCATTTCATTCGAAATCTCGTTTATTAGATATAAATAATTGTTACAATTTAAAAAAAAAAATCCTCCTGTAAAACTTGTATCTTCTACATTTGCTATTTTTACCATTCGAAAATAAGATTACACCGGGGAATTTAATTTTGGTTTTCTACATACACGACAGTAGGACAATTATGGGTACGTTGGACAGGAGGGAAAAAGGGGTGGAAAAGTTAAGTTAGAAATTAAGGCTATACATATCTGTGGAATAATAGCATAGAGACGTATGGCCGATGATATCTCTGGAAGCCATATGGTTATCTTTGCATGCAGACTTTCCGAGTATACAGTCACTTAGTTGTTTATTTGAAGAGCCATGTTTGAAGCAGCCTCTACCCACATGCTAAGAATATTCTTCGGGATATGTACACACCGTGATCCTCTATTCGATTTTATTAGGTTTTAGGATTTTCAAGAGTCCGCCGAATCATGATAAGCGAACCCCTAATTGAGTCGATCGATCGTGACCAGAAATTTTTATCCCGATCTCGCTTCTGCACACTTCTACCATTCAGGATCGCTTCTTTGCTCGACACTTGACTCTCGAAACGTTACGTTTTCCGCAGAAATTGCGCGTTCGTGGAAAAGTCTCTGGTTTCCAAAGATAGTGGAGAACGCGTAGATTCTACATTTATACAGACTACCAGGATTCGTATGAAGTGTCAATAATTAATTGTACGTTGCGTAAGATTTCGAGAGAAAGATCATTCCCTGGTACAACTTCTCGATCTCGAAGTCGTTCGCAGCTGGATCAATGATTAAGACGTTTCGTTTTGGACGATTATAGCTCTGCAGACTCTGTAAGTTCTGAAATATGCAAATGACGCGTGTGTATCTTTCGGAAAATGACGTAATTTTGCTACCAGTTCGCCGCGTAAATCGAAGGATCGACTCACCGAGAGCACTATAACGTTTCCATTCCCATTGTTATTCGCGTTTTGACGGATCGCTGTTATTATGAGTGTGAGTAGATAACCGCCGAATGCCAGGAAAGAGAGAGCTGTGACTGATAACTGGAAGATCTTCGAGATTTTCGTGTCTTTCCCTTTCTCGTCGTAATGCTCACCGTGTCTTCTTATCGGCCTTTTGTTGCTCCTTTTCAAGGGTTGTGCCATAGGTAGCGACAGTGAAAATGCTCTACCAGATATCTCTTCAGCTTGTTCATCTTCTTGTGTAACGTCTGTTCGTGTAAAATTTCCTGATCATATTTCAATTCTGAGTTTTTCACGATATTAAAAATGATACGTACTAGGTCATTTGGAAAAGAACGTAAGTCCACTGAAATTAAACATTTTTATTTCAAATAATTTCTACAATGTTCGATACACTTTTGCTAAAGTGTGACTAGAGCACTATTTCGGCGTACTTAAAAATCCGAATCTCTGAGGAAAAGAAAGACGCAGACGAATCTCTCTGATCCAAACCTGTAAATAGTTTACACACGAAAATAATCATGCGAGCAGTCTGCCGGTCTACTTGCTGATTAATTCACTAGCTTCCTGAGACCAGGTACCACTGTCACTGCAGAGTCACACAGTAACGAATTAGAGGTCGTTCACCAAAAACTGAAGGGTGGTATAACCAGCCGACAGAAAAGGCCCTAATCTTTTGTATGTCAACGCCAGATCGCACCTCCATATTCCCCCGATTAATCTCCAACCAATTTTCACTTTTCCACTTCACGATTTCCTCGCACAAAAACGATTTAGGAAACAGGAGGACTTCTTTCTCTTAGAGATTCGGATTTTTATATACCCTTGAAATTATTTTAAATAAAAATGTTTAATTTCAACGGAGTTACATATGTTTCTTCAAAATGACCTAATTACTACCTTCTTCATCCACGATAGAGGACTTTATATGAATCAATTCACTCATTGGTAATTCACTTAGACTTCGAACTTCATCCACGTAGAAATATGTTCGATTAGCAGCTACCACTTTCAAGCAAAATAATATCAACAGAAAAGTTGTCATGTCGTTGTTCAACGTTAAATTATACTTTAGAACTTAGACAAACTTTGTAAGTGTAACAAGAGATTAAAAAGTGTAGCGATGTTTCTCCGGCAATGTCTGATTTCGACTGATCCTGAAAAAGTAACGAGGCACTGCTATTGTCTCCTGGATAGAGAGGTCCCATTTCTCCTGCTTGGCTAACGAAGCGAGGAAGCTAGGAAGAGGAACGAGTTGGGACTGAACAGGGTGGAAGTGAGTAATTAACGTCCGTTAGAAGCAGGTCGAGTGTAATGCTCAGTGTTCGAATCTCCTTTGTCGCGTTACGATGAAGAAATTTTTCTTTTTCCTCCTCTGTATCTTTTCCACGGTGATTCTTGTTCTTGGTGTAGCCGAAGAAAACGACGGTCAGTGAGAAAAATCAAATTTAACAACCAATTAACAGGATTCCATTGAATTATTGAAATTTTAGGCGTTCTCGGTAAGATAAAAGCGGGTTTAGAGTACGCCACGAATTATCTAGAAGCTGCAAAGGATATCGCTGATCTGGTAGCGAAGAGTTTAGGTCACAAACAGAAAGACAGACGCGGAGAAAATTTCGAGAAGAAGGAGAAAGGAAGTTTCGGTCCTTCCAACGTAATGTCCGCATTTTTCCGACTTATCGGATTAGACTCGCAGAAAGTCACAGCCATTGCTGTGAACAGTGTGATATTTCTCGCTCAAATGGTAAGTGTACTACGTCGATTAATTTGTGTTTCAATTGAATCACGATTTAACCGTAATTACAGATTAGTTCGTTGTTCGAATTGAAACCACCGAAGGAAAATATCGCCAGAAATTTGGACGACGAGATTGACTCTTCGTCGTGGGATCCAGCTAAGCTCATCATGGAGAGCAAAAATGAAAAAGTGAGTCATTCTGAATCGGAGAAAAAAAAAAGAACGTAGTAAAAGATTCAGAAATGTGAGAGATAAAAAATGTTCCTTTTTGTTCAGATACGAAAATTAATAGAGCAAGCTCACGACGAGAATCTACCGTATCAAATAATAGAGGGGATTGATGGACTCGATTCTGCGTGCGTCAAATTATTGTTATGCAAAGCGTCTCCGGTAATAAGGGCTGCGCAGAATCTGTTGAAAAACAAAACTGAAAGCAGATCGCGTCGAATGACTTCGTGGCTGCCAAGCAGGGACGAGTTCGAGGAAAACAGCGACGAATGCGAAAACAGGCATAACGATTGTAGTTTATTTTCCTAGCTGTAGTTATTGAACCGCACTGTAGTTTATTTAACTTTATTTGCTGCGAACTTGACCGAAGAAAAGCGGCGATATCTGAAAGAATTTTTCGTATACACGGTGGTTCGCGCAACTTGAATCTTAGCAAAAGTCCTTTAATTATTTTACACCTACAGAATGGCAGCAGGATTTGATTTGTGCGAAAAGAAGCACATTTCTACTTTAAAAAATGGTGCAACTGTAAAATTCACTTGCGAAAAATATGGTTTCAAAAATGTAGCCTTCTTTGAACAATTTACCTTGAGCTTCTTTAATAAAGACATTTAGAATTAATCATTTTTCAACCATTTCACCCTAATCCTTTGGTACGCAGAATGACGATAGTACTTGATTAGTTAGAAAAAAAAATAGGTACATTTGTACCTAGAAAAAAATTGTGCAAATGTAAAATGCACGCGCAATGAAATCTTTTTCCTGATTATGATCAAAAAATAGATATCAGTTGTTTAAGTCGCGTGGTCCACCCTGTATACACAGGCAATGAAACTGAACACGAAGGATCGATAAATCGATCGAAAAGGAGTATGACAGGTACTTATATAGTCAGAAAATTTTCCGTATAACAGAATCGCTAGACTCGAAGGTGTTGGTTTGTATAGCACATAGGTATATGTATTTCTGTCCATTCAAATATATATTATATTACAGAATATACAAGGTATTCCAAAATTAATTTATTAAACGTTGTTTGAAAAAGCGACGAAGTGGAATCACCTTCTCCTCTTCTCGAGTGTTCGCCGTTTATTTTTCAAATAAATCGCGGCGAATTATTAAATTTGGCAATACCCTTTATATTGTTTTTTTTTTTTTTTACCCATAACCATCGCTAGCATGACCATCACCGGCCATGATCATCACTGGCGCGTTTCTCTTCGCTATGTCAAATGAAATTTTGTTGCGTCAAATCGTTCACTTTGTCACCAATGACATTTCTCTCGCTCTTATAAATTATACAATGAAACAATACGGCCGTTGTGGCGTGGAATTGGAATGACATTTGCGCAAAAATCATTCGAATTAACCAAAGAAAATTTCGGAAAACGTACACGAGACACTGTTAGAAAATACGCATTGTGCGAGAAGCGTAATAATCAGTCGCGTAACAAAACGTCGCAATCGAACGCGCATAAAAACGTATTTATCGCGAAAATTATTGCACGAAGTGGACGAAGCACCTTTTATTTCCATTTAAACTGATTAAGAAACGAACGCAAAAATCACACACATAGAAGTCGCAACGATTCTCTATTCAGCTCTCTCGAATGAATAAACGATTAACGAGATACATTTATGATATATTTCGCGAGAAAGATACTTGTACGTTTCGCGAGGACGGTGCTAATGAAAAATCTCTACTGTCTCGTATCTCCGCGGAGATCGCATCGAGAGTTTCTTTTTTTTTTTTATCTTTTTACTTAAAGAGATACTCTACCATTTTTCTCCCGAATAATCGACTCGTTTGATCGTCCTGTCGGTATTCAAGTGAAATCGTTACAAAATCAACTATACAGTCTGTTCGATCGCTGCACTTACGGTATACAATAACGTCGATTAATATCAGGACTGATTCGCTAAGCTCGAAACGAAAAATTCGTTATGAAATATATATATATATATCAACGATGAGAGATAACAATAAAGAAGGAACCATCGGTGGAACAACAACTACTTAAAAACAAGGTATATTCGTAAAATCACAGCGTGTCAGACTTGTCAGTCGATACTGTCGCATCTCTCACACCGTAGAATCCTTAATCTCTACTCTATACATCTAATGAGATCAGGGTTATTGCGAGCTACTTCGAGGAGGAGGGAAGGGGTTATAGTTTCTAAAATCAATAAGATAATCTATAAAGATGGAATAAATCGATCGTTTCTGGGGGGGTAAATGGATCGAGCACCAGAAACGTGTCTTCTTCCTTTCCCTGTAAATACCGTAATACGCGTGTGATACAGTATTAGAAAGTCGGATATTACAATTACGAAACTTTGGCATACGAGGAGACGTGTCTGCGTTTAATGAGAACGCACCGGAGAGTTTCGCGTGTTTCGCGATTTAATTCGAAGTTGAAAGAAGTGGCCTCGACAAACTAACTCGAATACACTCTACGAATCCAGCTGTGTCCTCCCTATTTATATTTAGTAAGCGACTTACGAGGTACGTTTAAGTAACTCACATACAAAAGCTAAAGTCTTTTCTGTTGACAATTTTTTGATTCCGTTATCACATACACGATTGAACGAGAACTTAAAGAGGAAGAAAAAAGGGAACACTCCTCTCACCACTTCTCGTTACGTCGAAGGATCCACGCGGCTTCTTATCGTCGCCTATGGATATATCGTCTCTGAGAGAACGCGATATCGTATCGTTCGAATTACACGAAATAATTCCAAGTATTCCGTTACACGTACAATATTATTCTACATATAGTGAGTGTGTATACGATTAGGGTAGAGGTACGCATATTTATGATACATTCTCGTTACATTCACGGAAAAAAGTTCGGTCTCGAAAATATATATAAAGGTTCGGGGGGGGGGGAGGAGAAAAGGAACCATCGAGAGAAATTCTTATTTACAAGAGAACTCTGTAGCGCTAACTATCCTTCCGTTTCATGCGAATCCATGTAGCGGCCACACACAAGGGCTCCTCGTTTCCAACAAACGATTCCCACACAAGTTTTCCACAACCGAGTCTTTTGGCGCTTGTTTTTCTTTCTTTCTTTTTCTTCAAAGTCTTCCCACTTTTTACACCGTAAAATGTCGATAAATAGTGTACTATTAAACGAAACGGTGTCTGTTAAAATTCCAGGGCGAAATTCTAATTACAATCGTTACACTTTTCAATTGTAATTAGAATTTCATCGTCGAATAGGCAGGCTGCTATTGCGGATAAAATTTCGAAGGAACGCCGCGATACGACCGAGCTTTGGAAGTTTGTTTCTCACGTGACCACGTGCCCCACAGTGTTTTTCATAGGTTCTAATTATTCATCCTCTATCATCGAGTAACAAGGATTCTAGAATGCGATTAGCTTTTGCCACGGGGTTCTGTGTCGTGCACGTGCCTCGTTGTTACAGTCTTTGTCGTTGATTCAGCAAAAAGACGAACTGAACTCGTTTAGGAACAAGCGAAGTTGAGGTTCGAAAATTGGTGCAGTTGGCTCGGCCAGAGTGGATACGACGATTTCTCCATAAAAAAAAGAAAAAAGAATCTTCGCTTTCAAACGACTTCTTTTTCGCTACTTTTGATTGGTCAATGGATTATTTACTAGAAGATCGAGTAAAGTAATTAAGGAAATAAATCGTTCATCTTCTACGAGAGTCGTTTGGAAGTGAATCTTTCGATTTTCGACGACTGTGAATCTCTGTGTCCTACAGAGTCGCCTGGCCTGGATTCATCAGGTCAGTGTTCTCGATGCGAGCTTGCCGCAGCCAATCCCGTAGATTCCACGTTCTCTCCATTAAATTGGAGGAACTCTTCTCAACGGTACCAACGCTCGTTGTGAAACCGCTGTTAGGACCATATTGGGCGATGATGTTCTGCATGGTGATCGTCGATGGTTGCGTGGCTTTTAACTCGGACAGGATGTTCGACAGAATATGCGGCGTACCAAACGCTCCTGGAAAGGAAACGATCGAATTGTGTGTAATTAGAAATCTGTAAAGCGATTGTATTAGGTCATCTCGAAAGTTCCCGCGGTTTTACGCCGTTCACTTTGAAAAAGCGTACCTCCGTTGAAATGAAACATTTTTGCTTAAAATAATTTCCATAACGTTCGATACACTTTTATTCCGCGTATATAAAAATCTGAATCTCTAAGAGAAAGAAAGACACAAATGAATCTCTCGAATCTTCCGCGTATATAAAAATCCGAATCTCTAAGAGAAGGAAAGGCACAAACACAATCTACACCCGAAAACAATCCTGACTCTAACAGAGTATATTTCCCTATTTAGCAGAGAGAAAGGCACAAACACAATCTACACCCGAAAACAATCCTGACTCTAACAGAGTATATTTCCCTATTTAGCCGGGAGATTAAGATTTTTTCTTCGGAAAATTATATCGTCGCGTTGAAATATTGGAATGTGAACGAAAGAAGAAGAGTTTATGCACACCTTGTACACTTCTTGACTGGGCAGCAACGTAAGAGTGCATCCAAGTTGACGGTGGCGGTATGGTTGTGTCTGGACACTTATTCAGCACGCCCCACGTATCACGTATGTCCGAGATTAGTTTTTCCAGACTTGCGATGATTTCCGCCGAATCCTGGTACCGATCCGGATTGTCTGAATATGAAGGATCATGACACCAAATCGAAAACAAATTCTCCGGTGAATAAGAAAGCAACGAAGGCCGTTCAAATGTATTTACCCTCTAACGACGAATGCAGGGTCATTTTGATACGACGGTGATAAAGTCAGGCGTCTCAGATTACGTTTCGAACAGGAAATACACCTATTTTACGTATCAAATGTAAATAAACAAGAAAATATCAAATATATATATATATAGTTGAAAGTATACAAATTTATACCCAATTCATTCTTGAAACCCGTGTACGATAGAAATTTTGCTATGGGTCAAAATGACCCTGCATTCGTCTCCCGCGTTCGTCTAAAACCTTCGCCTTCCGAGGGTTAAATAAAATAAATTTGAAACAATCGAAGGACTAGTGACATGCGATGAAGAAGACGGGAAGAAAAAAGTCAAAATGACCCTGCATTCGTCTCCCGCGTTCGTCTAAAACCATTCGCCTTCCGAGGGTTAAATAAAATAAATTTGAAACAATCGAAGAACTAGCGACATGCGATGAAGAAGACGGGAAGAAAAAGAAAGATAAGGAAGGGATGATCGACGAGCAAAGTAGGTAGAGAATTCACCTATGAACATATCCGTTTCTAAATCCGTCGAACTGAAGCCACTGCTTACGCTGGACAGGTCGCTCAGTGTTAATTCATCGTTCCTCGTCGAAGTTGCTTCGTTCTCGTTCTTCTTCACATTCGCCACCCTCTCCAACGACTGCTCCAAGTGCCTCAGATAAATCACTTTCTCACCTAAGAGGCTCTTGGTCCGGTGTAGATTTACCTCCATGTCCGAAAGTTCGCGTTCTTCCTAAAATTCAACGGAGCCAATTTAATTGAAATTCTTCTTCAAAGAAAAAACCCAAGTAAAGAGTGAAATAGTTTAGGTTACTGCATAAGTTCTGTCTGCCGTTTTGTTCGTACAAATAGCCTATCGGTGACTAAATTCGTCGAAGAAAATCCAGAATTGGCTATCCGTAACGTTGCATCTGAGCTTCGAATTCACAGTTCGAGTGTTGTAAACGGTGTGCAGAAAAGTGGATTTATAATTCAAAACGAACTGTTACCGAAAATCGTTTCGTGATAGACAAATAAAAGAAGATATTTCACGTCACCTGATTGCGGCAGATGAAACGAGGGTTTTGTACAATAATGAAACGGGAAAGAGACATCGGTGAAAATCTGATCAACGTCCTTCAGAAACTAGCAAGAAAAATTTAACGAAAAGAAGTAATGTTGTATGTATGGTAGAACATGCTTAGAATAATTTATTACGAATTGCCCATTCCAAATACAAGCACCAACTCTGATTTGTATTGTCAACAATTGAAAAGAGCGCAGCAAGAACTGCAAATTAAAAGACCATCCCTTGTGAATCAAAAGGGCGCGCTATACTTTAGCGACAACGCACGACTGCACATGGCAACGGCAACGAAAGAAAAAAAAAGTATCAGAAGTGCAGCGGGATCTTATTCCTCATTCGCGATATACAGTATATTCTCCACAAGTGTCAGACCGCAAGGAAGCTAAAACTGACACTCGTAGAGTCAGGGACTACGTTTTCGAGCCTACGCGCCCGCCTTTGTAGTTTGCCGAACGTAGGCCACACTGTCACGCCAGATTTACAGGTTGCTGTCAGGCGGCCACAAGAAAATACATTTCAAGCATATACATTAAGCAGCTCACATTTGAACTGGCAATACACAATACAACTAACTACTAAACCAAATCACCAGAAAAATTTTCAATATTATTACTGAAGTAAGCTTTCGTAGAACGAGAGTGAAAAATTGAAAGAATCAAAAGAAAAAATGCGAATTCGTATCTTTTTCGATTCTAGAATATAAGAAAATTTGAATAAAATACGCGACGAGAATTGGGGAGAAGCATAAGTTAAACGCGTAAAAATATTCAATAATAAACGAACTAGGGATGAAGCTATTATTTCAATACGCGATGCACCGACTCTAGTATTTACTAAAATTCAAAAATTCTCGTATAAATTCCGAAAATAGATTATTAATTACGGTAAACTACTGAGACGGTTTAATTAAGGGTGGGCATGGTGCTGCTTTAGTTTGAAATGATTTATAAACACATAATTAACAGAGGAAAAACCGTGAAACGGCAAAACGTCAACATTCTAATTGTTATAACATGTAAACAAAACTTTAAATTTAGTGTAAACAGAAAAAATATATAATACAATTTATTTCACGGTATTGCAACAAATAAACGTTGAATCAATATTTAATTCGTATAAAAACAATTATTTAACGTAATAATTTTACCTTCACTATGGCTATTTTAAATCTACGACCACAGGTCAACCTGATTTCTAATCCTTACGAACTTTAAATTCAGTCTAAACTGAGAAAATATATAATACAATTTATTTCACGGTATTGCAACAAACAAACGTTGAATAGATTCTTAATTCGTATAGAAACATTTATTTAAAATAATAATTTCACCTTCACTATGGCTATTTTAAATTTACGACCAAGGGTCAACCTGATTTTTAATCCTCCGAACTTGATTTCACAACGAGAAAGTAATAAGATCGTTGAAACGTACTTATTTGTCAAAGAAACTTGCAAAAATGTATAAATAATAATATGTAATGTTTTAACAAATTTTTGGAAGTATAAATTAATAATAAAATTGTGAAAATTAATAAATTATACGTTATTATAACATTAATAGAATTATGACTAAACCGAAGTTCGAAGTCGAGTATTTAAAGTCTGATATTACGTGCCTAGCGAGTGCCGGTAATTGTTAAAATTTGTTTAATAATTAGTAATAGAAATTCTAATTGATTCTAATGTATACAAGTGTTACAAGAAGGCTGAGTGTGTACAGGGTGGACATAGACTAGCTAGTAGCCCCCGACCACTCTATTCACATCTCAGAACCTTCAGGTCAAAATACGCCGCGAAGTGTCTAGGGCCCAGTATAAAGGGTAAATGATTTCGCGGGACATCGGCGGGTCCTTATATACCTGCGGTACCCTCTCCCCAAAGTCATTAGCAAAATCGTCGGTTAGGTCAGGCGGGAAATTTTCGCGGGAGATTTTCGCGGGAGATTTCCGATATCGTAACACGGTATAATTTATCAATTTTCACAATTTTATTAAAAATTTATACTTCCGACAATTTGTTATAACATTGCATATAACAATTTATACGTTTTTACAATATTCTTCAATGGAAACATAGGTTTTAGCGTTCTCGTTACTTACTCGTGGTTAAATTAATTTCGTAGGGATTAAAAATCAGGTTGACCTGTGGTCGTAGATTAAAAATAACCATAGTACAGCTAAATTTATCGTGTTAAATAATTCTTCTTACACGAATGAAAAATGTATTCAACGTTTGCTTGTTACAATACCATGAAATAAATTATTTGTGCAGTTCTGTGCACAAATAATAATTTATACGTTTCTACAACTGTGTTCAATAGAAAATTACGTTTCCATGTTCTCATTACTTACTCCTGTTTAAATTAATTTCGTAGGGATTACAAATCAGGTTGACCTGTGGTCGTAGATTAAAAATAACCATAGTACAGCTAAATTTATCGTGATAAATAATTCTTCTTACATGAATCACGAATGTATTCAACGTTTGTTTGTTATAATATCGTGAAATGAATTATTTGTGCAGTTCTGTGCATTTTCTGTGCAGTTCATCCTAATTTACTTAAATTTACATTGCGAGACAGTATACTTTAACAAGTAGTAACAAGCAAACGTTTAATAAATTCCTAATTCGTATAAGTAAATTAGGTTGAACTGCACAGAAAAAACAAACGGACGCAGCATAACGTGTAGTTATAATTGTTATGACATGTAAATAGAACGATAAATTTAGTGTAAATATAGAAAACGTATAATATAATTTATTTCATGGTATTGTAACAAGCAAACGTTGAATAAATTCCTAATTTGTATTAAAAAAATTATTTAACACAATAATTTCAGCTTTATTATGATTATTCTTGATAAATGACCACAAGTCAACTTGATTTTTAATCGTTATGATCTTTAAATTCAGTGTGAATAGAGAAAATGTGTAATATAATTCATTTCGCGATATTATAACAAACAAACGTTGAATACATTTTTGATTTGTGTAAAAAGGATTATTTAACTCGATAAATTTAGCTGTACTATGGTTATTTTTAATCTACGACCACAGGTCAACCTGATTTTTAATCCCTACGAAATTAATTTAACCACGAGTAAGTAACGAGAACGCTAAAACGTATGTTTCCATTGAAGAATATTGTAAAAACGTATAAATTGTTATATGCAATGTTATAAAAAATTGTCGGATGTATAAATTTATAACAAAATTGTTAAAATTGATAAATTATACCGTGTTACGATAACGGAAATCTCCCGCGAAAATCTCCCGCGAAAATCTCCCGCGAAAATCTCCCGCGAAAATCTCCCGCGAAAATCTCCCGCGAAAATCTCCCGCGAAAATTTCCCGCCTGACCTAACCGACGATTTTGCTAATGACTTTGGGGAGAGGGTACCGCAGGTATATA